CATTAGGGGCCCCGTGTTTTTTAAGTGACCAAGGGAAAACCATTGTCGTGGTTCCCCTTGTTTTTCCATCCTTTCATGTTGGTCCTATTTTCAAATATATATATATATATATATGTGTGTGTGTGTGTGTGTGTGTGATTTTGACCTGCATTTCTTCGTCAATTTCATATTAGTCCTCTTAGAGCTCATGGTCTTTACTTGGCAAATTTTACTCGAGCCCCTACAACTTCGTTTTCATCTCGACCATGTTCATCATTCCATTTGGCCACTGTCTTTCCTTTTTGTTTGTCGAATGTTGTCGTTTTAATTTATGCATATTTATTTCCAGAATTTTACTTCTACACGTTATACAATCTATATCTAAACCATTTTACAGTCTATATTTATTTATTCAAGCCTTGCATTGCATGTTACCACTTTCCAATTTAATTCTTTTCCGTTTGTATGTAGTGTAATCTGTCTAATGTTTTTTATATGGTGCTGTTATTAGTTTTAATCATTGTATTTAGTTTAGGTTTGCATTTTAAGGTCATATGTTCACTGTTAACACATTTTAGTCATTGTGTCATGTTTTTTATATATGCGTATATATAGGCATGAATACATGCTAGAATCCCGTGTTTTTCTGTATGAAATATATACATGTCCTTTTGCAGACGAAATATGGTATGAATGCTTTGCATAGCCCTTTAATAAGGGATTTAATTTACTATATATGCGTTGACCATTTGACCCCATAATGTTGCTCACTACTTTTCTTTCCATGTTAATAATATATATATATATATTCCTTTTTAAATGAAATATGACATGAAATGTGACATGCATGCTTTCAGTAACCCTTTATTAAGGGATTTAATATTTGCATATATGCAATCATAATGTTCCCTATTTCTTTTCTTTCCATGTTAATGTAATAGATATGTCTATATTAATAATGTATATTTTTTTGTTTTAATAATTGATTGATAACTTAGTATACGTACAAAGTCACTTCTTTTATATGTTTGTTTGCATATAATTGTAGTCACATTTTCGATATGTATAATATCCTCACAAATATAACTAGACTCGATTTAAAAAATTGGATTAAGGGTAATATCATTTTATTTTAGGGTTGTTGTGAAGTGATTGTCTTAACGTATAAGAAAGTTGCTTCCGATAATTTTAAAATGAAAGTGTATCCATCAAGTGAATCCCTAAAAATCCGATCACACCAAAAATTTGGAAACAAGAGAAAAAGAAATGTTCGTATATTTAAATTCATCGAGATAATATCGTTAGAACTTATAAAATGTCCGATCTCAACATCTTTAAATAATCGAACATCCTTCTTCTTTCTAAAAGGTTTGATATTTTTTTATTTTATTTGTTTTATTTTATTCTTGTTCATGAATGCATTCTAATTAATAATGAATTTTAGAATGAAATAGTAATATTTATTTATTTTGATTGGAGTGAGAATTGACTGCTTTAAGGCATGAGAGGTCTATTCTTCTCGATAGGAAATAATTAAATATTAACGTTTTGTCCTAAAATTCAAAGGTGTTGTTTAAAAGGATCCTAAATTAAATTAAATTCGAATTTATAAATTTCATTGCAAAGACAACTAATTAATCGACTAGGTACCGATTTAGGGCGTTGTGGGATGCTAACCCTTCCCCATGCGTAATCGACTATCGAGCTCAATTTTTTTGTAATGTAAAACTAAAAACGTCATTTTGATAAAATTAAAATTAAATTTATTAAAATGACAATCATTTTGGGTTCCCAATCACATCGTAATCGAAGATTGGTGACGACTCTTCAAACAATTTTTTAAATTTTAAAAGGAAACACCGAATTAATCGAGATGATTTTTTTTTAAATCAAACTTAATTAAAAATTATTTTTTTGAAGAAATCGTTTCAACAAGTAGTAGCCTTAGGTGAATTTGTGGGAGATTCGCTTGCTTTTTGACGCTATGTAATGGCAATGTTGGCGACATGTATCATGTTGTTGTTAGAGTAAAAATTCTTCGACTCTCTTGGTCAGAGGAAACTTAGTGTGCTAGATTTCAGGGAGTCTCAAACAATGAGTGGGAGCATCTTGGCACTGGTGGAGAGGTGGCTATTTCTCTTACAAAAGTAGGGAATACTTTTCTCCATTTAGAGATATGTTAGTTTCACGATGTCCTGTTAGAGTATTGGCTTTAGCATTCTTGGGTAGAGATTTTTGCGGAGGGTGATCTCATCTATAGTGCGTAGTATCTTACTTAGTGGATGATCCTTATCGTGGGTATGTTATGTTATGCAAATTTCTACTATTGTGATAAAATTAATTTTCTCGAAATTAATTTTGTCAATATTAATATCTTTTTGGTGATAAAATAAATAATCGTAGCATTATATTAAAAAAAGATATATAATTATGACAAAAGTTAAAATCGTCATAATAATTTGTCACAATTAACAAACATATGTAACATATGGTGACAAAATAAATTTTATTATTAATTTTTGTCACAAATGTTTCTCTACAATTTTTTGATGTCAAATTGAAGGAATATAGTGACAACGTTTGTAACTAAAAGTTTTAGTAACTATGATAAAAAAATTTATCATAACAAATAATGGAATTTAGATTTGTTGTGACAAATTTTGTTTGTAATTATATATTTTAATTATAGTGACAAAATGTATAGTCACAAATGATTATCTCCAATTTTTGGTAAAAAAACAAAATCATATAGTGACATGTTTTGTAACTATAAACTATAATTATTGTTACAAAAAAATTGTAACAATAAATAATGAGATTCAAGTTTTTAGTAAAAAAAAATGTTTGTCGTTATATGTTTTAATTATAGTGACAAAATATATTGTTACAAAGATTTTCCTCCATATTTTTTGTGCCAAAAAAGTCATAAAGTGACAAATTTTGTAACTATAAGTGTTAATAATTATTACAAAAAACATTGTCACAAAAATAATGATATTCACGTTTTTGTGACAAATTATATTTGTAGTTTTATATTTTAACTATAGTAATAGCATATATTAATTATCATAACTATTTTCTCCACTTCTTTGTTTCAAAAGTTATATTAAGAATTTTTATAATTATAATTTATAGTTATTTTTATAGAAAAAATTATCATATCAAATAATAAAATTCAAGTTTTTTGTAATAAACTATTTTTGTACTTATATATTTTAATCATTATGAAAAATTATACTATCAAAACCATTTCTCTCTATTTTTAATGTCAAAATGTTATATAGTAATAAAATATATTGTCATAAAGATTTTCCTCCATATTTTTTTGCACCAGAAAAATCATATAGTAACAATTTTTATAACTATAAGTGTTTATAATTATTACAAAAAACATTGTCACAAAAATAATGGTATTTACATTTTTGTGAGAAATTATACTTGTAGTTATAAATTTTAATTATAGTGATAACATATATTGTGATAAATATTTTCTCCATTTTTTTTGTTTCAAAAAGCTATATTGATAAGTTTTGTAATAACAAAATATATTATCAAAATGTTTTCATTTATTTTTTACGAAGTTAGTTTCAAATAAAAGATAATAACAAAATATATTATCAAAATGTTTTCATTTATTTTTTACGAAGTTAGTTTCAAATAAAAGATAATAACAAAATATATTATCAAAATAGTGAAAATGAAAATTAAATTTCTAAAAAATTGAACAATATATATTAATCAAAGTAGGACAAATTTCCTATTATTTTTTTACATTAAGTTTAGGTGAAGTTTACTTCCGTCAATCATATTATATTCACTACAAAGCTCTTTTTAGTTGTATAACTACTTTTTAATATTTTTTATTACACAGTTTCATAATGGTTAATGATATAAATCATTGATTAAAGGGTCACATTAATTTTTTTCTAAATTCGAGGGTCATATTAAATGCAACAATAATTCAATGGCCAAATTTATCTTTTCACAAAAGTACAAGAGCCTTATATATCTTTTTGTTGAAAATTAAACTAAATTAAAAAAATAAAATAAATATTAATCGGGTATCGATGACCTGAAAATAATGGTACCGAGTTTTATAGTTACTCGACTTACAGGTACTCGCATATTACGGCTAAGACATGGACCACGTTTTTGACACTTGAAAATCTCAAATACTTAAAAAAGTGAGTATATAAATATAAACACTCCTAATTAATAATACAAATGATAAAAAATCATGTATTTAATAAAATTATGGAGTTGTTTTTATTAATGAGAAATAAATGTATTTTTATATAAATTTACTGAAATGTTATTATGTTCAACTCTAATTATTTTATTTCAACCCTACGTACCATTTTGGATGAAAGCTAGATGCTTTAAGTTTAATGGCTTGTTGGAGTTACCCAATTAACAAGAAAGTAAACACAAATCAAAGAGAAAGTAATTGGGCCTCTCCGAAGAAGAAGATGAAGAAAACAAATGAAGCCTATAAATGGCAGGCACCTCATTTTTTCAAATCTTCCATTAGTCCCCATACAAAACAAGCGTTCGAGAAAAAACTGGGGGAGGAAAGGTCCATCGTTCTAGTAGGGGTTTTCAGTGGAAGAAGAAGAAACCCTTTTTTCAGATTAGTCTCTTTCAACAGCTTTAAGTTCTAATACCAAAAACAATCATAACCCATGCATGCCCAAGTTCTCGTTCTCGTTCTGAGTAAGTTTCTTTTCTTTTGATGCATTTTTTAAATCCTTTATATTCAATTTGTTCCTAAAAATAACATTGAAATAAGCAGAGGATTCGTTGAAGCGGGAGTCTGGGACTAAGGTTCACCATGCTAATATCTAAGCCTCCAAGGTAATCCTTTTCTTTCATTGTTTTTTTTAATTATTCTGTTTTACTTACTCTGTATTAATCTAGAGTGTGATTGCTGAATAAGCTGCTTAAATTTTGAAAGAATGTAAACCCAGTTTTTGTTGCTGAGTTCTGATCTGAGGACTTTATATATATCTAAGAAGGCAGGATTCAACATGCTTTGGGTCTTCGATATGATTTCCATTTGTTGTTGTCTGTTCAATGCTCACTGAAAAAAATTACTTTACAGGCTATTGATGACATTATTTGAACAACATTGGGTCCTCGATCCATGTTGAAAATACTCCTTGATGCTGCTGGAGGTAATCCTTTTTACTTCAATTTACATTTCCGGTGCAGATGTTTTGGAATTAACAAAAACATTTTATTACCCTTCAAATACGCTTTTGTTAAACTGGTATAAGTATTGTTGTATGGTTTTGATTTCTACCAGGTATTGTCGTTACTAATGATGGAAATTCCAACCTACGTGAGTTAGATATAGCACACCCAGCAGCAATGGCATGATATTCCACCATGCATCTCTATTTGATTTGCTTTTAGCATGTGAATGCCTCCCCCACCCCCACCCCACAAAAAAAAAAAATTGTCTTATTTTCTTTCAGTCTTATCTTTTTTGTTGGTCATGGCGGTCAATGATTGAATTCAGCCATACGCAAGATGAAGAAATTGGAGATGGAACGACATCTGTCATTGTTCTTGGTAGATTTTTTTTATGCAGCAGAATGTTGTTTATGTGCTTTGATACTTTTGCATATATTAGTTTATTTTTCAATTATATTCTCATCTATAAGATCTTTTTTTGTGAACTAATAAACTTTTCAAAAGCTCAATGGATTTTTTATTTCTTAGCTCAATTGGTATTCAATTTCCTTTAGTACTTATATTTGGTGTACTCTGTGGTGCAGCTGGTGAGTTGCTTCATGTCGCAGAAGCCTTTATTGAAAAAAATTATCATCCTACGGCTTTGTCGAGGTAATGCAACTTAGAACTGATGCTAGATTCTTAATATCTGCTTTTGAAACATTACTTAGCATTTGATTATGAACTATTTGTTGGGGAAATCGGGTTATTTCCCACACGAACGTAGTTTCAAAATTGACCTAAAATGTCAAGATCAAAACCACCAAAGGTTGCACAGCAGATAAACCTGTCAAACTATTGAATATTGAAACACAATGGAAAAAACCGAATAAAAACAATAAAGGAGAGAACACACCAAATTTACGAGGTTCGACGAGAATATCGTCTACTCTTCGGACATCACACCGGATGATAACTTCACTATATCGCCAATATTACAACAAATGGAATTCTTTAGAATTCCAAAAGTTGGAGAATGAAGAATACAAGAGGAAGAGAGAACTTGTTTTTAGGATAATTTCTAATGAAATACTTAGGCCTATTTATAGTTGAGTTTTAAGGACTAAACTTATAAATAACCTAATATTTTAGGGATTAAACATGAAAAATAAGTTGGCCACCTACCAAAGAATTTTCCAATGTGTACAAGTCAGCCACCAAATATGAAATTCCCATGTTCAAAGTTTGGTCACTAACCAAGATGAAATTTCTAATAAGTTGACTACCAACCAAGATGAAATTTCCAACTTGCCAACTTAATTTCAAGCCAAATCTAACAAAACTCCACCTTGGCTTGAAATTACCAAGCCTACTCAACTTCTTCAACTCCCCAAATTTGTAGTGCCTCTAATTGCGCTCACAAGCGCCACACACCCGAAGGTGTTCATACTTTCAGGACGTTAATCAAGTTCAAACAATGATTGAACTTGATTACTGTTACCACCTTGGTTATCATATCTGCAGGATTTTCTGATGTCGCAATTTTCTGAAGTAGAATCATTCCTTCTTTAAAGATCTCCCGCACAAAGTGATACCTCACGTCGATATGCTTAGTCCTTGAATGGTAGACTTGATTTTTCGCTAAGTGAATAGCGCTCTGACTGTCACAATAGAGACTAATGTGACTTTGAATAACTCCCAAGTCTTCCATCAAACCGTTAAGCCAAATTGCTTCCTTTACAACCTCTAAAACTGCCATGTATTCTGCCTCTGTAGTAGACAAGGCCACCGTAGATTGCAATGTAGACTTCCAACTTACTGGGGCTTCAGCAAGAGTAAACAAATACCCAGTAGTTGATCGACGCTTATCCAAATCACCAGCATAATAGGAATCAACATATCCAACCACACACTGACCAAGTGCTTCATCCTGTTCAAAAACTAAACCAACATCCACGGTTTGTTGGAGATACCGTAGAATCCATTTTACAACTTGCCAATGTCCTTCTCCAGGATCATGCATGTACCTGCTCAAAACTCCAACTGCTTGTGAAATGTCAGGACGCGTACACACCATTACATACATCAAGCTCCCAACTGCATTAGCATATGGAACTTTTGCCATATACTCTCGTGCTTCGTTAGTTTTAGAAAATAATTGAGAACTAAGTTTCAAATGAGAAGCTAGTGGGATACTTACATGTTTGGTATTTTCATTCATGCCAAAACATTGTAATACCTTTCTCAGATACTGCTTCTGTGTTAAACAAAGTTTCCCTCTCTGTCTATCTCTACTTATCTCCATACCAAGAATCTTATTGGCCTCATCTATATCTTTCATCTCATACTCTTGATTCAACTGAGCCTTTAATTTGTCTATCTCCTTTTGACTCTTTGAAGAGATCAACATATCGTCAACGTACAAGAGAAGATAAATGAAAGATCCATCTTTGAGCTTTTGCAAATACACACAATGATCATATTTGCTTCTAGTGTACTTTTTCCTCCTCATAAAGCTATCAAATCGCTTGTACCACTACCTCGAAGATTGCTTCAATCCATATAGCGAATTGTTCAGCTTACAAACCCATTTCTCACAACCACCATCTTTGTATCCTTCTGGCTGAGTCATATAGATCTCATCTTCTAAATCACCGTGCAAGAAAGCCGTCTTTACATCAAGTTGAGCTAGCTCTAAATTCAACTGTGCTACCAAGGTCAACAATATTCTAATGGAGGAATGCTTCACAACAGGGGAAAATACTTCATTGTAGTCAATCCCCTCCTTTTGAGCGAGCCTTTAGCTACCAACCGTGCCTTGTAGCGAACATCTTTCTTGCTATGAGATCCATCTTTCTTTGCAAATACCCACTTGCATCCAATTGCTCTTTTACCTTTCGGTAATTGAGCCAGTTTCCAAATGTTGTTCTTTTGGAGAGATTGCATTTCTTCATCCATGGCACTTTTCCACTTATCACTTTCCAAGCTTTGTATTGCTTCTTGGTAAGTGATAGGGATATCATCATCAACAACTGGAAGAGTATAGGCCACCATATCAACAAATCGAGCAGGTTTACGAATTTCTCTTTTTGGCCTTGTAACTGCAAGTGGTTCTGGTGTCTCCAATGATTCTTGGGTTTGAACCTCTTCATCTTCTGATTTTTCTATTGGAGTTGAAGAATCAACTGCATCAGCTTTTGGGATCATCATCTGCTGAAACTCTACCTGTTTTGGAGTATGCTCCACCTGCTGCGGAGTACTACTTGTCTGGACAACTTCATTTGTTACCTTCTTTATTAGGGCAGATTCATCAAAGGTAACATCTCTGCTACAAATTATCTTCTTGGTGTCTAAACACCAAAGGCGAAATCCCTTCACTCCATGGGTGATTCCCATAAAGAAAACATTATTTGCTCTCGGATCAAGCTTGGATTCTTTCACATGATAATAAACAGTGGATCCAAATACATGTAAGGAATCATAATCAGTAGCAGGTTTTCTAGACCATACCTCCAATGGTGTTTTTCCTCCTATCGCTGATGACGGCAGAGGATTGATGAGATAACCAGCATATGTCACAGCCCAGCCCAAAATGTCTTGCCTAACCCAGCATTAGACAACATACATCGAACTTTCTCCAATAGTGTTCGATTCATACACTCTGCCACCCCATTTTGTTGTGGTGTATTTCTAACAGTGAAGTGTCGAACAATACCATACTCATGGCAAACATCAAAGAATGAGTCACTTTTATATTCCCCTCCATTGTATGTTCTAAAATGTTTGATCTTTCTACCAGTTTGGTTCTCGATCATATTTTTCCATTTCAGAAAAATTCGAAGCACTTCATCTTTAGACTTCATTGAATACACCCAAACTCTTCTGGAAAAGTCATCTACAAAAGTTACAAAATAATGGTTTCCTTCCAAAGATGATTTCTTTGAAGGACATCTGAGTGAATATAATCCAAAATACCTTTTGTATTATGTATAGTGGTGCCAAACTTCACTCTCTTCTGCTTTCCCATAACACAATGCTCGCAAAAGTTCAATTTGGAAGCCTTTGCACCTTTCAACAATCCTTTATTTGCCAGAATTTTCAAGGATTTCTCTCCAGCATGTCCCAACCGCATATGCCACTACTGGGTTGCGTCCAAATCATCACCTCCGGAAGTTGCTGCAACTGCTCTAATAATTGTACTACCTTGGTAGTAATACAAATTATTTTTCTTGATGCCCTTCATCATCACAAGTGCGCCATATGTGATTTTTAAAATTCCATCTCTCATAGTGACTACTGAGCCTTTGGATTCCAAGGCTCCAACGAGATGAGATTTTTCTTCAAACTAGGCACGTATCGGACATCCGTCAGAACTCTGGTTGATCCATCTTGATTCTTCAATCGAATTGAACCTATCCCAACAGTTTTACAGGCATTGTCATTGCCCATATAAACAACTCCTGTATTTAGTCTACTAAATCGGAGAACCACTCCCGATTAGGGGACATATGATAGGTGCAACCCGAATCTAATATCCATTCATCTGAATGGAATGTTGTTGATGAAGCAACCAATGATATGTCAGAGTCATTTTCATCATGCTCTGCAACACATACATCTGGAGCAGGTTTTTCTTTCTTCTTCAGCTTTGGACAATCTTTCTTCCAATGACCTTTCTCATGACAAAAGGCACATTCATCTTTTCCTAGTCTGGACTTCAACTTTGATCTCCCTCTCCACTTTGACTTTTGACTTTTTGAGCGATCTCTTGCCATCATGGCCTCCGCTGCTTCGTACTTGCTCTCCTTCTTAGTTTTCTTCATGAGCTCATAACTATACAAAGCAACAGTTACATCTTTAAGGGTAACATTATCCTTACCATGAAGTAACGTTGTCTCAAGGTGCTCAAATTCATCTGGAAGAGATGACAACAACATCAAGGCCAAATCTTCATCTTTGAAGGTTTTATCCATGCCTAATAAGTCTGCCACTAACTCATTGAACGCAGTGATATGTTCATTCATACTGGTGCCTGGTTGATAATTAAATCTGAACAATCTTTTCTTCATGTGGAGACGATTCTGAGAGCTTTTCTTTAGGAATTTTTTCTCCAATACTTTCCACATCTTACTTGCAGAAGTCTCGTTCTTGTAGCCATACTTCTGCTCCCTGGAAAGACAAGATCGAATCGTGCTGCACGCCAAACAATTGATTGTTCCCCATTCTTTCTCCTCCATATATTCGAGTTTTTCTTCCTTAATGGCGATGTCTAGACCTTGTTGGAATAAAGCGTCTAACACCTCACCTTGCCACATGCCAAAATGATCGGATCCATCGAACAACTCCATCGAGAAATTTGCATTTGACATCATCCTCCTCACCGGTCCGGATGAAGAGCTTGATGTCTCAACTGATCCGTATTTTGGCATTTTAATTCCAACGAACAATATTAAATAGCACGAACTGTATCTTTTCAGCAACGGAACCACCAGGATAACCTCAACCGAAGCTCTGATGCCAATTATTGGGGAAATCGAGTTATTTCCCACACGAACGTAATTTCAAAATTGACCTAAAATGTCAAGATCAAAACCACCAAAGGTTGCACAGCGGATAAACTTGTCAAACTATTGAATATTGAAACACAATGGAAAAAACCGAATAAAAACAATAAAGGAGAGAACACACCAAATTTACGAGGTTCGACGAAAATATCGTTTACTCCTCGGGCACCACATCGGATGATAACTTCACTATATCGCCAATATTACAACAAATGGAATTCTTTAGAATTCCCAAAGTGGGAGAATGAATATTACAAGAGGAAGAGAGAACTTGTTTTTAGGATAATTTCTAATGAAATACTTAGGCCTATTTATAGTTGAGTTTTAAGGACTAAACTTATAAATAATCTAATATTTTAGGGATTAAACATGAAAAATAAGTTGGCCACCTACCAAAGAATTTTCCAATGTATACAAGTTAGCCACTAAATATGAAATTCCCATGTTCAAAGTTTTACCACCAACCAAGATGAAATTTCTAATAAGTTGGCCACCAACCAAGATGAAATTTTAAGCTTGCCAACTTAATTTCAAACCAAATCTAACACCATTTCATTTGCAGCATACAATAAGGCTTTGGAGGATGCTATTGCTGTGCTTGACAAGATTGCAATGACTATTGATGTGAAACACCGTATGTTTCTCCTGGGAAGTTTTTATAATCATAAAAGAATTTTTTAATCTTTTATCCCCTTTTATTTGCATCTTTATCATCTTTGGATCATCATATTGTTGCTTTTATATTTGAATGGCAGGTTCAATGGTGTTGGGACTTGTGAAGAGCTGTATAGGAACAAAGTTCACTAGCCAATTTGGGGATCTGATTGCCGTGAGTGTTCTTTTTAATCAAAACTTGTTTTTATGTGAACTTTTATTATAGATTCATTAGCTTATGCCATTGAACTGGCATGGTAGTTACCTTTACTGTTTTTCCTTTTTGCAAATGACATGTTAGAACATAGAATAGTCATCTGACCATTTGAGCATTTGATTGTTTGGCAGTTTGCTCATATTTGAATATGAATAGAACTGGTTCCTCATCTTTAGTTTCAAATAATTAATATTACACCAATCAGCATTCAGCAAGCATTAGGGGAAAGACATTTGAAATATGTCTACATGCTTTGGGTATTTGAATATATGAGATAGTTGTCTGTTGTGTCTATGTATTGGGCCATATTTTACTAAAATATTTAGACTCTTGCATTTGGATGAAAAACGTACAGAAATAGTACACTCGGACTTTTTTTTTTGGTTCAGTTTGTGTATCATGTTTTCACATGACCCAGCAATCTCCCATTGTTGTCTCAGTACACTTTCTTCGTGTTGGTGTTTGGTCTGGCTCGCATGAAAGACCAAGATTGTATAATTAGTGCCCATGTCAGACATGTTTAACACACCGAAATTCATATTGTATTGACATGGGAACGGTGCCAATATCTTGTTTATTCTACTAGCCGAAAATACAAAGTTTGTTCCTATTTATAACAAATATTAATTTCTCATCATAAAAAATTGTGACAAGTAATATTCTTTCACAATAACAAATTACAACAAAATAATTTAGTCACAATAATATGTTAAATTTAATCAAAGTAAACAGTTATGTCAAATTTATTTCGTCCCAATATTTTGTCAAAATAAAAAATTATGACAAATTAATTTAATCAAAATAACAATTTATAACAAATATTAATTTCTCATTATAAAAAATTGTGACAAATAATATTCTTTCATAATAATAAATTGTAACAAAATTATTTAGTCACAGTAAAAAAGTTATAAAAAAATATTTAGTGTCGAAATAAAAGTAATGAGAAAATAAATTTTGTTTCAATATGTCTTTTTGTCACGAAAATCTTTTTTGTTTTATGTTATAATTTAATTGTGATGAAATTTACTTTTTGTGATAAAATAATTATTTTATTTTAACAAATATTTTGTCTCTGTAAGTTATATTTAGTGACGAAATAGCAACTGCGACAAAATAATTTTTGTTGCCTTATGTATTTTTGTCACAAAAATCCTTTATATTTGATGTTTAAATATAAGTTAGTTATAACAAAATGTATTTCTCGTGACGAAATGATTAATTGATTGTGACAAATATTTTATTGCGATAAGTTAATAATAATAATGGAATTTCATTATTACAATAAATATTATACTATGGTCATGAACACAAATTTTGTCACAATATACTTTACACGACAAGAGTGTTCTAGCAAACATGGTAACAAATAAAATTGGTCAGAATAAATATATCGTGACAAATTTAGTACTTTTAGTGATAAATAATTTTGTTGAAACAATCTAAATTTCTTGTAGTAGATTGCCATGGGACCCGAACCCGATGGATTTCGACCCCACCCGACTCGATCGAGTCGAGTCGAGTTTTTTTAAAATTTGGGTTCGGGTTTAGGTATGGTGTTTTTTTAAAGGTGGTGTTTGGGTCGGGTCGAATTCGGTTTTAGGGTGAAAAATACTCGACCCGACCTGAAAAAATTATAATTTTACGTTATATATTTATGAATAATTACAACAATACCCCTCTATATATTATTATTTTTAATTAAATCATTGTTTTAATTGAATAAAAATAATATTTGTTATTATTTCGGGTTGGGTCAGGTTCGAATTTTATCTCAAAAAGTCAGGTCGGGTGGAGGGTATATATTTTTTGGGTCAGGCCGGGTCAGGTCAGGTGAAGGATGTAAAATTTTTGGGTCAGGTCGGGTTTGTCGAAACATGACCCATGCCCATCCCTATATGCGAGGTATAGAGGGAGATGATGTTTATGTCTTGGCGTTGCCATGGGTATTGGAGTTACTTGAACTGTATTGTTTGGATACTGGTTACGACGTCAGGGTTACTTTCAATGGAAGAAAACTTGATGTCCTTGTATAGGTTTAGGTGGTAGGCGTAGGCCTTTTTAGCATGGTAAAATCATGGCAAGGACGTCTCGACATCGGGGTGGTGGTATCTTAACCTTTTGTGTAGATTCATATTCATAGGTCGGGCCCTTAGGGGCAACTTATGGTTCTTTAGGTACTGAATTTGCTTTATGTTGTTTTTGCTAGTGTATAGAAATGTACTATAGCGAAGGTATCTTAGTAATTCATGGAGGAAACCCTAAGATATACTAGTGGAGTGAGAGACTATGATGCTTTTAGGGATATTTGAGGTATTCAATATGTTAAGCTATATGAGGGGTGTTGACACTTATGTTGCATTGGATTTTTGCATCTCGGGTGTTCATACTAGTATTCTAAATCATGAAAGAGTAACTATAAACCCTCTAGATAGATCAGAGATGACATTGTGTTACTTAGCGTTGGGCTTCAATACTATGATAGATCAAAGGCGTCTTCATCATATTTAGTTGTAGGAATTTCTCTATACACTGTGGTATTATGCTACTCATTCATTTTTTTTTGTGGGAGAGAGAAATGTCTCAACACTTGCGATGAAGGTTAAGTTTAGAGGGATTCAAGTACTCTGATTTTGACTATAAATGAAAGCCTCTCTCGAGTCACCTACTATGAGACCTCAACATTATGTCTTAGTGTCTTTTCCATTTCTTGTTGTGGAGGTTTATATGTGTGGAGGATATTGATGCTTTGTGTGGGAGTATTTTAATATTTTTTGGGGTGAATTTGGTAGGTTTACCTTGGAATTTTTCAAGGTAGTATAGAGGTAATCAATAGGGCTTTACTTCACATATATAATCATGAGAGACGATTTGTATAACTTGTGTTTCTTAAAGGATGATTTGAGGCTTCTTCATAAAAAGAGATTCTCAATGCTTTATGAAAAGGTACTTGTTGTTGGAAAAGGGTCTTTTTGGGGGACTATTAGTCGTTGAAAGCGAAGCTATATTCAAAGGTGCAAGGTCATCATTATGCAAACTCCTCAATGCTCGATGCAGAGGTTTATGAAGGTATTTTCATCTTATCAAAATGTAAAAACTTTTTATGCAAGAGTTTTCTTCATCACATAATGTTTGGGAGGTAGCTCATCGTTGTTGTAGGTTGAATGCATTGATGCTTTTTCGTAGATGTATATGTCATAGGATGAAGGTTTCTTCACCTATTTGTTCTTGATGATTTATGAGGAGGTAGGATTTAACATCCTCAATGCTAGAGGTGGAGGTATTATTTAGAGGTGGGTTTTTAAGGTCCATGATTTAGGAGTTTTAGGTTTTTTTAGCATTTAGGGGTTAAGGTTTTTATTTTATAGTTTAAGGTTTTAATGTTTATGATTTAAATTTTTAGGGTTTAAGGTTTTAATATTTTAGGTCTTAGTTTTTTTAAGGTTTAGGAATTTTAGGGGTTTAGGGCTTTAAAGAATACTTTATATTTTAGGGTTCAAGGTTTTTAGGCTTTTAGGTATGGTTCAATGTTTAAGGTTTAAACTTTAAGGTTTAGGGTTTTATGGTTTATAATTTTATTGTTTAAATGTATAGATTATTAGGTTTAAGATTTATGGTGTGTGGTTTGTAGAATATTTTGTTAGGGTTTTTAAGGTTTTAGCATTTTTAGTATCTAGGGGTTATGGTTTATGCTTTAAGTTTTAGGGTTTAATGTTTAATGTTTTATGTTTTTAAGGTTTGTGATTTAAGATTTTTAGGGGTTTACGGTTTTAAAGTTTATAGTTTTATATTTTATGGTTTAGGGTTTTAGGTATGGTTTGATGTTTAAGGTTTTAAGGTTTAGACTTTAAGGTTTAGGGTTTTATGGTATAATTTTATTGTTTAAATGTATAGAGTATTATGTTTAAGATTGTTGAACTATATTTTGATATAACAATTAAGGCAAAATGTTTTTGGACTTGAAATGAATTTATTCAAAGTTTTCAAAAATAATTCAAAGTCCAATTAACTTGGAATTGAGCACAAAATGATTTTCTAGACTAGATGTACCGATATTGTTCTTACAGTATCGATACCTCATGAACAATACTGATACCTCATGAACAATACCGATATTGTTCATATGATACCGATACCAAAGGTAAAGGAAGTATCGATAATGCTAGCATTGCTCAAATTCTAGAATGCAAAAATGGTACCGATACCCAAAGGGGTACCGATATTACTTCACATAGTAGTATCGATACCATAGTCATAGTATCGACACCATAATGCCCCAACGGCTAGTAACATATAGTTGATTAAAAATAATAAAGATTTATGGTTTATGATTTATAGAATAGGATGTTAGGATTTAAGGTTTAAAGTTCTAAAGTTTAGGGTGTTAGGGTTTAGAATTTAAAGTTTGGTTTGTTAGGCTTTTAGGGTATAATGTTTAAGGTTTATAATTTAGAGTTTAGAGTTTTAGGTTTTAGGTTTATAATTTAAGATTTATAGTTTAGAGTATAAGATTTAAGGTTTATGATATTAGGGATTATGCTTTAGAGTTTAGAGATATGATTTAGGATTTAAGGGTTAAGGTTTATAGATTAAGGGTCAATATTTTTAGGGTTTTAAGGTTATGTTTTGAGGTTTTAGGATTTAGAGTTTATTATTTATGGTTTAGGTTTTTAAGATTTAAGGGCTATGATTTAGGGTTTAATTGTTTAGGTTATAATGTTTTAAGGTTTGCTATTTAGGGTTTATGGTTTATTGTTTTAAGATTTTTGGTTTTATTGTTTTGGTTTTAAAATTTTATGGTTTATGGTTTATAATTTAGTCAAATGTTATACTTTAAGGTTTAGGATTTAAGATATTAGTGTGTTAGGACTTAGAGTTTATGGTTTTAATATATAGGTTTATTATTTTAGGGTTTAGGGTTTAGGTTTTATAATTTAAGGTATATAGTTTATGATTTATGGTTTACGCTTAGGATTTAAAGTTTATGGCTTATGTTTGTAGTGTTTAAGGTTTAAAGTTTACGGTTTAGAGTTTTATGGTTTGTGATTTAAGGTTTAATGTTTAATGTTTAGGGTTTAGGGTTTTATTTTTAATGTTTAGGGTTTAAGATTTATTATTTATGTTTTAGATTTTATGGTTTAGAGTTTAAGGTTTATGGGTTATTGGTTCATGGTTTTAAGATTTTAAAGTCTAGGATTTATAGTTTATAGTTTTATGGTTTTATAATTTTAGGGCTCAATGATATAGTTCAAGGTTTGAGGTTTAAAGTTTTAGGATTTGTGGTTTAGGATAAACGATGTAAGGTTTCATAATTTAGAGTTTAAGGTTAGTGTTTAAAGTATAAGATTTTGTGTTTGAGATTTTGAGTTTAATATTTGGGGTTTTGAATTTATGGTTTAAGGAATAAGGTTTGAGTTCATGGGTTAGGATTAGAGTTTGAAGTTTGATATGTAGGGTTTTAGTTTATGTTTTAGGGTTAAAAGGTTAAAGGGTTAGGATTGAGAGTTTATGATTTAAGATTTAAGGGTTGTTTACTATTTAGGGTTTATGATTTAATGTTTAAATTTTAGTATTTAGGATTTAGGGTTTAGTTTAATGGCTTAGGGTTCAAGGTTTTTAATTATTTATATTTCATAGTTTGTGTTATATTTTTTTTAAAAATTTTGAAATATATTTATAACTATTCAAATATTATCCTTTAGAAAGAAAAAAATTAATCCAAAGGGTTCTTGACAGACGTGGCGGATATTCAGTGGCCTGTAAAATACATTCCTAGACAGTCCCCATGGCACAGAATTTGCCTCCAAAATTTTGACATTTTACTGAAGTTCCCGCCAGTTTCTCCCCTCATACCAATACGCCATGCCCATACATTTAACCAGCGCCCCCCCCCCCAAAAAAAAACCTTAATACCCAAAACCAGCAACAGGGGATAAACAATGGGAATCAAAGGTCTGCTTAGATTCATGAAACCTTTCATTGAACCCGTTCACATCAAGAAATACGCTGGCAAGCGGGTATTTTATTTTCTCCTTTTTTCTCCTCTTTTCTTTCTATTTTTCTTCCCTCAACATATATTCTATTCTGCAAGTTTTGCAGGTGGGTATTGATGCTTATTCATGGTTACATAAAGGAGGTATTTTTGTTTCAGTTGTATTCATTTATATATTTAAATTGTTAAGTGAAGATGGAATCAATAAGGTTGGACTGGTTTACGCAAAAATTGCAGCATATTCATGTAGCACGGAGATTTGTTTGGATTCAAACAGTGAAAAGAAATTTCGTTACATAGCTTACTTTATGCACAGAGTCAATCTTCTCCGTTACCATAAGATAACCCCAGTTGTGGTTTTTGATGGTGCAAGTATCCCCTCTAAGGCTGCCACTGAAAATGAGAGAAACAGGTTTTTCAACTTCTTGTTTACTTTAAATGATTTATTTTTATTTTAAATCTTGCCTTATATTGACTATATAGCTATTTCAAGTTCTTGGGCATAGTAGTAACACGGTTTTGACTTAAGGAGGAGAGAAGAGAACCGGGAACTGGCAATTGCCAAACTTAAAAAGGGTGATGTTAAAGCTGCAACTGAGCTTTTCCAGGTTTCATTCTAGCTTCCTTCTGCCTTTAATCCAATGTTTGAGCTACTCACTGGAACTTTTCCCATAGCATTTTTAATTTGGGTCTCTGATTTACTAATGCATATGTATTTATGATGTTTGGTGAAACACCCTTTTCCTGGGATTAATGGTTATGATGATAATTAATTAATCAATGTTTCTGTTTTTTTATATTCTTTTCTTCTAGTGTATGGGGATAAAGAAGTGCTATAAATTTATTACATTTTCTTTGAAGTTAATAGGATGAACCATTGCTTATGCTTTTGGATTGAATTTGTTCAACTTTTAATACTAAATTCTACTCCTGAAAATTTACCGAGAAATGTTAAGATATTCTCAAGATCGCACGGAAGCATGAAGTAAATTTCAGTACTGATTCTAGCCTCTCCAACTATAATTTACTTTTTTAGACTTCTCCTGCGATTGGACCTGAGCATGAACTATATTTTCTATTGGAACTTCAGCAAGTTTGATCCGGTTTTGAACTGTATAATTAGGCCATTTTGAATCGTTCACCAATCATTTAAGTTCCTTAAAATTCTTCATCTTTAGAATCATTTCTGCTAACATCAAAGGGCATATTTTTATGTGTTGTTGCCTGCTTAATTTTTCATGATGTTTTTATCTTTGTTTTTGACTCCGACATCTGCATGGATTTGTTAGCTGTTCTTATATAATTGTGGTCACTCTATCCTTTCATTTTCTTCATTGTAGAAAGCAGTGAGAATCACTCCAGCAATGGCACATCAATTAATTCAGGTAAAACATTTCCTATGATTTTTGCTCATCATGGAAATTTAGAATATTTCTCATTCCTGTTCCATTTAAATCCTTTCCAAACTTATATTGCTTCTTTTTTTAGATCCTGAAATCAGAGAAAGTTGAATTTGTGGTAGCTCCATATGAGGCTGATGCACAACTAGCATATTTGGCCACCCTTGAGGTTGAAAAAGGAGGAGTTGCGGCAGTGATTACAGAAGACAGTGATTTAATAGCATATGGTTGCCCAGCTGTAAGAACTTCTCCAGAACTATGATATGGTGTGCTGATGGAGGTCTTTTGCTCTCCTGATGACTTCTTTTCTTTGTTGATTACCTGAGTTAGTGGTTTTGTCTTATTTTGATGCATTTTCTGTTAACAGATCACATTTAAAATGGACCATTATGGCAATGGAGAAGAACTAGTTCTGCCAAAAGTTTTTGATTCATTAACTAGTAAACCTTCCTTCAGAAATTTTGATAAAGAATTGTTTACAGGTAATCTTGTTTCGATACATCAAGAGCTATGCTCTTCAAGTTTACATTTTTTGGGAAGCCTAGGTTGTCTAGAATGCAACTTTCACTAGAATAAAATTAAAAACATTTGATGAACTCAAATCAAGAACCATAGAGATATATCTTCATTAAGTTGGGCTCTTTATGCTTGTGATTGTTACAAACCTGAATCTTTTAATAAGTTGAGCTGGTTGAACTTCTCTGTGATGAGCCATCAGTTGTGAAGTTTTCCATAAAATTGTAAAACCAAAAAGATCTGTTTAACCATTTTTGTTGAAATAAACATATGTTCTCATCATTTGGACTCAAATTTACTTACCTTTTGACATTTTACAGGTATGTGTGTCCTTGCTGGATGTGATTTCCTTCCATCTGTTCCTGGAATTGGGATTGTAAAGGCACATTCCTTTGCTACCAAGTACCGGAACTTAGACCGTGTAAGTAGTCTTCTAAATGCTTCTAACCAGCAGCTTCTGTGCTAATAATGCGGTTCACATTTGATATTCGAAGATCTTTCATAGAATTTAAATCATGTTAAATGAGGCAAAATTGCAACATTTTTCTCATGGTGGAATTGGATCTCGTGTTTGGATGGTCATTTTCCTAAATTTAGAATTCGAAGATCTCTCAGCTTTGGTGAAAGGTGCATCTTACCTGTTAAGCATGAGGGAAACAAAATTTGGAATGACTAATTGTCTATGGAATTTCATTCCGTGCATCCACTAACCAGTCATTTAAGTAGAAAACTTTTTTGATGAATGACAATACAATCATAGAATTGTTTCTTGAGGTAATGAGTCACATACCTTGATATACTTTTCCGGTTTGCAGAACACTGTGCCGGTAACAAAAAGAATAGGGGGTTTTTATTTTCAAAGGATGTCTACTTAAGTACTTAAGCCAGGAAGCATATGCAAGAGATATTAGTGAACAAGAAAGTAATTGACTATTCAATCTAATGACCTTTCACGTAGGAAAACAAATAGCGTGCCAGAAATACATGGAAGTGTTTTTCTTTGTCTCTAGAACATTAAACCAACATGTCATTTACTTGTTGAAATTGTTGAGAATAAATGGCACGCTCCCATTAATGGCATCTATATGAGCTTTTGTTTTGAAAAATCTAGATGATGTATATGATTTTTCTAGTCAGGTCATTAGTATTTACAAGTCCATATTTTGTTGATATATATGTACAGGTTTTATCAGTTTTGAAGATTGAGAAGGGCAGTCAAATGCCAGAAGATTACCCCAAATCTTTCAAAGAAGCAGTTGCAGTGTTTCAGCATGCAAGAATGTTCGTACGAAGGAAATAGAATTCTTCATTGATCCATTTTTTGATTTTATAAACTTTTGCTTTCAACTTTCTTTTGCAGATATGATGCTGAAATCAAGGAGTTGAAACATCTGAAATCTCTTACAGAACAGCTTCTGCAGCATCTAGATGAAGGGCTTGATTTCCTGGGACCGTATCCTTTTCTTTCTTTTTTTCCCATTTTTTTACTTCGATTCTCAAGTTACAATGAAACTTCAAGTGATGCAACAAAGAGGTGATTACCAGGTATGAGGAAGAAATAGTGGAAATTGAGAAAGTGGTACATCCATAAGGTGAAATTATTTTGCTAATATTTAGTACACAAATTTCAATTATCCATAATGTGATAACAGTACTTGATGTTGGTAATACGTAACAAATATATTTGAGTGCACGGCATGTAATTTTTCCCTTGACCAAGTAAAAATGATACCAGAGAAATCCCTCCATTGGTAGCAGCTGCGATTGCTGAAGGAAAGTTAGACCCCACTACAATGGAGGCCTTCCACTGTAATCAACCAGAGCCTGATAATGTTCAAACTTCTGTTGAAACTGCTAACAATTCCAGACAAGCAAGCTGCTTCACGGTAGTTTCTTCACATAAAACCAGAGAGAAAAAGAAGATAGGCAAGTTCGTTAAACACACTTGACACCTAATGCTAAAGAAATGTGTTCATGTCTTACAAACTTTTTATTATGCAAAGTTTCCTGCTTCTTTTGATTAATTTCGATATACCTATATTTTGAGAGTTTCCATACTATTTTAAATTTTTATATCCATAAAATATTTATAATTTGGAATTACAGGCCGACTGAATTTTAACTCTTTTGGTAGCAGTCTGTTAACTGCCATTAACTCTTGATTGAATTATAAACTGAAACTTGATGTGGTTGAAAATTTTTAATTCATCTAGACATAGCGTATAATTTCCACTACGTCATAATTCCGTTAAGAAGTTAATGGCAGTTCGAGTAATCAAAACATGAATTGATTACATTAGTAAGCATTTTTATAACTATTTATAGAACTTACTAATAGAGTAGTGAACTCTATCTTAGTTTACCGTTTCCTTTAAGGCTTAGATTGTTTGTTGGTGTTGCCTCTACTTAAAATTTGCTTGTGCATGCAAAATGTTGAGTTCTGTGGCAAATCTTATGTGCCAAGCTCGTGCATGTTTAAATATCTGTACATAATGGTAGGTAAGAAACTAGAAAGCTTTTGTTTATGTTCTTTGTGCCGGTATGATGTTATGGTAGCAGGTACAATGAGCATGAAGCAAGTTGCAGTTTCAGCTGAAAGCAAGTATTTTCAAGATGCTGGACTGGAGAAACTAGCATTTCCAGTAAGAACTCACACAAAAAAAGAGAATGCGGTATTAAAGGAAACTCCATTGAATGTTCCGAATAACAATCCTTTCAAGAAAAGAAAACTCGAAGACGTGACTAAACTAGTTTCATCAGAAGGCAAGGATGAGAAGTTGGAAATTTCGTGTGTTTTCCCCGATAATAGTCAATTGACATTTTCTGAGAATGATTGTTTAAGTGATAGGAAACTCCAAATCTCCAATCAGATAGAGAGCATTGCTGAACAGATTTCAATGGTGACTGAGGTAGAACTTGCCGATACCTTGTGCATCAACATGGGATCCCAAGAAAGTGTGAGTTCTGATTCTAGACCAAAGAGAGTGTTTAGTGGAAGAAGAGTTCAAAATGATAAGTTGAAACGAAGTAATCACAACAGCTCAGAGGCTAAGAACAGTATTCTGAACTTCTTTGCTCGTGTGTGATCTTCCCATTTGTTTCATTTATAATCTACTTAGCAATTTTTTTTGTTGCTTCGGACCCAAGAAAGTTAAAGGAAGCAATCTTCCATTTTTATTTACATATGCTGATAACTTATTAGGGACCACTAGAAAAGTTAACTAAAAGCATTAGTATGCGTTTATTACTTAATCCAGGAAGAAAAGAACCTTCCTCTAAAACTCGAACAAACTCTGCCAGCTTAATGTTTTTTTCGAGTAAGAAGCTGTTTGAACCAGTAAGCTGACATCTTCGGGTACCTCTTGAGGGTGGAGTAATCAACATACACAATGCCAAACCTTGAAGTGTAGCCTAATCTCCATTCGAAATTGTCCAGCAGTGACCATGCAAAGTAGCCTACGACGTTTGCCCCGTTGTCGATAGCCTTTTTCAGTTGAGTCAGGTAATTCTTGTAGTAGTTGATCCTAGTAGTGTCATGCAATCCCTGGGCAAGTGTCACGTTTCCTGGGTCATCCATGCCTATAGAAAGAAGAAAATGTTAACAATATTCGATTTAAACTGCTATTATTCTATGAAATTTGATTAAGTTAAACTAAACCATACCATTTTCAGACAAAATTACAGTCGGATTCCCATACTTCTCCTTTATATACATCAAACACTTGTATAATCCCCAAGGCACATTGTAGAGCCAAGAAGAATATGCCTGCAAGCAATAAGATAACCATATATGATGCAAATGAATTCAACAGTTATTCTAAGGGAGCCAATGGATTGTCCTAGACTTACTCTTGGACCGACTGACACTCCTTTTTTCGCATCTGCACGAGCGAAAAAGAACAATAGTTCAAACTTTAGCGTAAACGAATTAGGATAGATTAATCGCATTTGTGAATCAAGAACTATTGTCTTACAAGCAAATCCGGCATTCCAATCTTGCTGATAGCTTAAAACTTTTGGTTTAGGCTGATGTGGGTCATATATATAGTAAGTGGTATACTGGTTAATGCCCACAAAATCAAATGATCCTTTCACCATCTTCACCTCTTGTTTTGTGAACTTAGGTAGCCTATTGCCCACAATCACCTGCATTGTCCTCGGATACTCTCCATATACAAGGGGATGGATAAACCTAAACAATTTTGCAAAAAGCAGTAAACTTATTAAACCAAATGCATCACCATTGAAATTATCTTTGGTGGGGAGATGAATATCAGAATATGTATCTACTGCAATTAAAGCCCTTACCATCCAACATGGAAGTCTATTGCTCTTTGAGCAGCATATCTATCAGCTTTTGATCTTGTAAGAGGCTCGTACCATACAAAATCCAAGAGAATCCCGATTCTTCCCTTTTGTTTTTGCTGAAAAATGCATGCATTTGTCAGTTAAGATTAGGGTTTCAATATACAAATGCATGCATTAGTTAAAAGCTATGGATCCTACCTGGTACTTATCTCGATATATTTGAGCTGCTGCTCCATGGGCTAAAATCAAATGATGTGCTACAATGTAAGGCTCGGTCCCGGAGTTGCCTGCAGTACAATTTCCATATGGTTTGGAGCATCTCCCCGGAGCAAAGAAGCCAGTATCGTACCCGAGTGCAGCAACGACTCTGGGTTCATTGAATGTCGTCCACTGCTTCACTCTGTCTCCATATGTCTTGAAACAAAAGTCAGCAAAATCCGCAAAATCTTTCCTGAAAATTCATTCAAAATTTTAGCCATGTGTTCTATTATCTGTGCATACATAGTTGCAATGCTACTTACACTGACTGGTAACCCAGCAATCCATTGTATTTCTTCTCAAGTGCTTCAGGAAAATCATAGTGGTTAAGATTGACATAAGGGGTGATGCCTGCAAAGGAACTCCAAATCAATCCAATCTGCAAAATACTCAAAAATCTTTTGATTTTGTTGAACAAAAAACTACCTTTTTCTAACAAGTAGTTGATTAAGTTGTTGTAGTATGCAACTCCCTTCCGGTTTACTTTCCCAGTACCATCTTAGTAAAACAATTGAGCAAAATGAATTAAGGAAACTTCATTAAAAACAATTACTGATAAGGATGATATTTTGTACCTGGGAAAATTCTGGTCCATGAGATGGAGAACCTGTATGCATCGAAGTTCAGTTTTACCATAAGATCCACATCTTCCTGTAACAAAATCAGGCCATCATTAACAATTGGATCTGAATGTTCATATTAGTGAAATTTACCTTGTACCGATGGTATTGATCCACGGTCACATCAGCGTTGCCATTATTAGCAACAATCCCTGTTTTAAGTAAACAAATACTTCATTATTTATTTAACAGCAAAAAAGTTGACGTGACTGTAACTTTTCACCGCATTAGCGTCAGTAAAACCCATTACCAGGAGTTTTAATGAAGACATCCCAGATGCTGGGGCCACGACCATCGCCATGAGTCACGCCTTCAACCTGAAAAGCCGACGCCGCTGTTCCGAATAAGAATCCCTTTGGGAACGCCTCTCTACTCAGACCTCCGGTATCGAACTTCACCGTCTCCGGCTGCAGTTGCGAGGGCTCATTCACTGCTTCGCCTGCAACGCAATAGATAAGGCCCACCCACAATAACAACAGACATATTTGGACTCTCATTTTCACGAGCTGGTAAATAGAGAAGGAGAGAGTGAAGAGTAGTGAGTGAGGAGTGTAAAGAGTAGCCACGTTTATTTATAGATAAAAACAAGGTGCGTAACTGTAATCTACACTGTTTTTCTGAAGTAAGTTTGGCGTTACATCTTCCGTGATGGGTACGGGACACTTTTTGACTGTCATTCTGCTTCTTCCTTTTTTTTTTACTCGTGTCCTTATCATTTTGTTAATTTGAATTAATTAGTGTTTATATACTTAATTTTAATAGATGAGTTTTTTAATAGATTTTTTTTATATATTCAAAGACTCAAATTTAAGTCATGCTTAAACAATATTAAGCTTCTTACAACTTGAACCAATAGATATTTTTTTTTCTAATTTCATTCCCTTTTCATGCATATTTTTTTGAAAATGATTTAAGGTAAACTAATTGAATGACCACTTAACGATGGAGTTAGTGTTGAAATGATTATATTTTTCAAAATTTCGTCAATATGACCATTTGATTAATTGATTGAGTTCAATATAGTCATTTGTCGTTAATATTTAAAGGAAGTGCATACGTGACAGTTAATAAAATTGGTATAATTACATATTTGATTCTCAATACTTGTAAATTCTATCATTTTGGTCATAATTTTAATTTAATTCAATAAATTTAATCACCAATTTTACCCATAAAAAATAACAAATAAAAAAAAGAAAAAAAAAACGGTAAACAATACCTGAACATCCGAGACATTTATTGCCCCAGTTACTGTTGTTGTACCAATCCCAACTCATCCCCAACTGCCACTGTCACTGTACCACCAGCTCTCTACCATGGCTTGCAGATCCCATACACACTATCATCAACTACATCAACCAAATCAACATTTTTTCCAGACATGTAATGGGTTCTATAAAACCCGAGCAAAACAATGTAAAGGGATTCTTCCCCACTTCTGAATTCGAAAAAGCAATAAAAGAAATTTTCTTTTATTATTATTTTTAACTAAACTTACAAACTTAAAAAGAATGAGAGAGGGAAGTTTACCTCTCGGCCAAGGACTTGCCGGTGATTGGAGCATTCGTTGCCCAATCTGAACGGTGAGAAGAACAACATATCTCGAGATCGGCCCGATCCAACGATAGACGACGGCGATCGGAGCATTGGAGAGCCGAAGAGTCTCGAGCGTTTTCATGTCGTTGAAGTTCATTTCACGTGAAACGGGCCCTAGATCAGAGATAGGAGGTCAAGACGAGTCTTCCGATATATTTTGGAGGCCAACGGCAGTGGCCAGCTATGGCTAAAGATGGACGACGAGCGGCCATGGTTTAGAGAGAAGAGATAGCTTCTCTCTCTAAAAAATGAAATGAGAAAAAATGAATATAAGGGAAAATGGCTTTTATAGGCGAACGAAACGGCGCCGTTTTGGCCCCTGATGGTCAAATTATCTCAACGGCCATTGCAAGTTTCATCAGTTTGCATTTTGGTCACCATGATGTGTTCTTTTCATTTTAAATTTAATGTCCTTATTTTTCTTTTTTCTATTTTTATTTTTAAGTATTAACTTTTTGGTTTATTTTCTTCTAGGTCCCTCTACTTTACACACATTTTCCACTTCGGTCACTGGTCCCCTATTTATTTTATTTATTTGGTTTTGTGCTCTGATTTGTGTTTGTTTTAATTTAGTCACTATTATTGTTATGATTTATTCAAATTTCGTCATCGATTTTTACGTTTATTCATTTTAGCCATTGTTTAGATTATGTTTCTTATTTTACTATGATTTAGATGCGATGTTTGCAATTTATTCATTTTTAGTCACTTTTTATTTTTGATTTGGCTATTATTTTTATTATATGATTCGGTTATTCATGATTCGGATAAAATTAAAAATTAACCCCTAACTTATAATTTTATTCGATTAATTTATTTTCTGTTATTTATATTTTTGCCTTTTAAATTTATGTTATTTTAATTTGTACCTTTATTTTTTATCATTTACATTACAGTCCTTTAAATTTCAGCTTTTAATTTTCTGTACTGGTTTTATTTAATCCTTATATTTTGATTTCTTACATTTCGATCCTTTTACTTTATGCTTTAATTTTAGCTTTGTATTTTTTATTTATTGCAATTTAGCCCATTTACTTGGTAATTGCTTTTAATTGTTGTCTTTAATTTCAATTTTTTAAATTAGTCATAGAATTTTAGATTTTAATTATTAAACTTTATCAAAAGGATTAGAGGATAGATTTTCTAACATTTCCTTATGACGTTGTCGGTAATCCATCAAGAAGTAGATGATCGCCTTATTCGAAAAGGGCACATATCACATTTCATAGCAAAAATGCTAGACATTTCTGTTTGAAGAATTGATCACTTATTAAATGTCCATTTGATTGTGGCATCATGAAGTGAAGCCCTCAAACTATTCGATAACATTGTTGTTTAGTAA